AAACGAAGTCTCTGTGAACAATGCACTTTGTGTTGGATTGGTAGGAAAAAGCTTAGGTGTTACCTTACTGCTTGTAACATGCAGCACTATCAGCTTATCATCTCGAATGTTGGGTACTCTGGTATCCAAAAGAGTCCTATTTACCCACTTTTTAATAGAGTAGTAGCGCGGCAGCCAACACCCGATTTTCTAGATTTGCGTAGATTACCTTCAGCTTCTTCGTGATTAAAGAGACCATGAAAGTCTTGATTCTTACTATTAATCTGCTGGCTCAGTCGATGAGCACGGACTTATTCGTTACCCTTCTTTAAGTTTTGCTAAAGATCGGGCAGAGGTCACATACTAAGTTGTCACCACCAAATAGTTACCGGACATTATGATACCGACGCTCTTTCAACTTGCAATTTCTATGCTGCCTCAGCGTACTGCTCATAATTTATGGCTTACTTATCCTTCCGCAGACGCAATAAAGAACTTAATATTGGGCAGCTCATCATATAATTTGCCAATTTTTACTTGTTCCTTGGGTATGGCGTATTGTTAACTTATTTTAAGGACTAGTTAACGTGCAAGGTTTTTAGTTTATGCATACATCCTTCAGTAGAATAGACTGGGAGTAGTGGTCATGGGTCTGGTACGCCGACTGAAAATCACTGTGCATGGAGCGAACAACTGTAACTAGGGAATAGAAGCGATGCGTAATTATTATCTGAAGTCGACGTCGGTCACGGAAAAGAGAGTGCTTACATTGGCGTCTTCTGACAGCACAGCACTGGATTCGCTAGCCGTATAGGCACTGTTTCGGCTTTCGCTAGCACCCGTTGGCCTAAGCCCTGAAAGAAGATAGCTGGTATTCAATAGACAACCTGAAAAATTTCGTTGGGATCATTTCGGTGATTCGTATCGAATAAGTGGGCGAGAATATAGCTCGAAGCCCATCTAGTTTCACCTTTACTTAATTCCTCCTCTTTTCCAGACTCCTTGTTGTTCGGCAAGTGTATCGCGCCCCACAGGAGCAGATGAATTAATAAATGTACACCGATGTGGCCTTCAACAAGAGTCGGTTTTACCCTCCACAAGGAGAGATTTCATGAAAAATACGGGCAAGTTTGCCTCGATCACTGTCTTCAGACGTCGTCTTATCAGTTCGCTCGTTTTTTGGCAGTCATATGCACCTGTCTTTCTTTTCCGCAGTTAAGGCAGCAGGCTTTTTGGTGCGCTGGCCCATATTCCTGAAGATGACTGTTTCTCTGGGTATCCGTTTTGAAGAAATTTGTACTGCCACTGCTGACTTAAACTGTTCCAGAAGAGCAGATACGTCGCTCTCTAGCTGTCAATCTCTGGACTGAATTTCATTTTATATTTAGGAGAACTAAACCATGAAAGTTGATGTATGGTTCCATCCAGGTTACCTTTCGGAATACCCTATGCTGGATAGGTCCATAGTTCTTTGTTTCGTTTTTACGTCCCTCTATATTGTGCTGGTTAGTTCACTGTGCCCTAATAAATTAATATTTACAAAAAACGGATACTTTACCAGCACTGGTTTTCCCTTTGTGACATTTTCCATAGCAGACATGTATCCCATGTATATATCAGTCCGCATTCTTTTTCTAATTTGTTTAGTTAGATTGTTCGGACGAAAGTATACATGGAGAACAAAGTACCCGTATCTGCAGCAGCGCCAAACAATGAAGCCAGACAATCCCTAGGGTGTGGTAGTAGTACGAGTGGTAGCAGCAACAACAACACATATCTCTCCTCGGCTCTGTCCTCCTCCAATTTCTCTGACTTCTCCTCCTCCACCACCAATGAAATTTCCCACGGCAGCTCTACGCCCCGGTGTTCCACCCTGCCCGGCTCAAGCGCTACTACTAAT